GCTTCGATGAAGGAATATTTCCATCCCACCTCAAGCATTCAAAGATTTTTCCACTTCATAAGAAAAATAATAAAGACGATATAAATAATTACCGTCCCATTCCCCTCTTGAACTCTTTCGATAAAATAATTGAAAAAATATTGCATACTAGATTAACGTCTTTTCTCAATAAATATAATATTTTGTTCAAGAATCAGCATGGTTTCCGAAAGAACCATTCTACTTCCCACTCAATTTATAATTTAGTTCATAACATCATTGACTCCTTCGAAGAAGCCACATATTGTACTGCGATATTTTGCGATCTGTCCAAAGCTTTTGATAGTATTTCTCATCAAAGACTTCTTGACAAATTAGAAAATTGTGGTATTCGCGGACGTTCGCTCAAACTATTTGAATCTTACCTGTCTAATCGAACACAAAGCGTTTACTTAAATAACGATCACGAGCAAATAATTTCGGATAAATTGACAAGTACATTGGGCGTGCCCCAAGGATCAATTTTAGGGCCTCTCTTATTTCTCATATATATTAATGATTTACCTCATTGTACAAATCTTTGTGATTTTATTCTTTTTGCGGATGATACCAGCGTTATCATCAAGGCCAAATCTCTTAATGAATTACAACATAAATTAAGCGTGGTTATGTCAGAAATAACGAAATGGTTTTGTGAAAATAATCTAGTCCTCAATAATGATAAAACCCAAATCATATCTTTTTGTACAAAAAATCGTTTATCCAATAATATTACTTCTTTAACTATCAATAATTCAGCATATAATTTTTCGCAAGTATCAAAGTTTTTTGGTATTCATATTAATAATAATTTAAAGTGGTCTGATCATATCTCTATCTCACTATCACCAACTTTATCTAGAACATGTTTCATGTTGCGCACCCTAAAACCCAAACTTGGTTTAAATTGCTTACTTTCAGTTTATTATAGCAACTTTTATTCTCACGTTTCATACGGCATTCAATTCTGGGGTTTTTCATCCGAACTAATTAAAATATTTAAGCTTCAGAAAAGAGCTATTCGAATAATTTTTTTCTTGCCCAGTAAAGCTTCCTGCAGACCCATATTTAAAAAATACAATATTCTAACTGTCCCATGCATTTTTCTGCTGGTAACATTAACTTTCATCAAAAACAATTCGAAACTTTTTGATATGGCTTCGTCCTCCTCAAATTACAACACTAGACACAAACTTATTAAGGCGCGTACATATAAATTAGCCAGCTCTTTCAATACGATCGACGGTCTAGGTATTCAGCTTATGAATAAACTTCCACTCAATATCCGAAACCTAGACAGCATAAAATTTCATGCTTCCCTAGTTAAACTTTTTAAAGACTTAGTTTTTTATGACATTACTGAATTTTCTCAATTTGATTTCAATAACTATTTTCTTGCATAATCCTTATCTTGTATCTATGTAGTCTGACCATTTGATTGCCTGTACAACCATATTTTTTTTCTCATTTTTTTATTGCTATTTTATTAATTTAAATTTTTTATGGTTTTAAATGAGTATAACTTTCAAACTTGTGCAAGAATTTTGAGCTTGACTGGTGGTCAAATAGACTTCAATATGATGAACTTGATGATGAACATTGTATTTAATGTTCGAATGCTTTTTTTTCAGCTCTTTTTTTTCAGAAGTGAAATTCGTGCAGCTACTATGATTATTATAAAATTACTATCCTTTCAATATTAACTATGAATAAGCTTGACAAGAGCCTGAAATAATATCTATTATTATTGATTACGGCTTGCTTATGAATAAATAAATAAATAAATAAAATTTCTGTGAGAATGTTTAAGTGTAGAAAAGACTCTAACATATTTTAGCTTCTCAAATCTAAAAAAAAATCTTTGGAAGGTAAGGTTTTATTATGTATGAGAAAGTATTAACAAAATTATTAATATTAGAAGTGAGAGAAAAACTGTGTTTAATTCTAAGACACATGTCTTCGAAACTAACACTAGAATGCTTTTTTTCAAGTTAAGTGATTAAATATATTTAGAAAATTATTACTATCAAAAAATTTTGAAATAATTTCATATTTTCTACAACGTTATAAAAAATTGCGTTGTAAATTGCATTAGCTAACTTTATATTTAAAGAAATAAAGGTAGATAAGTTTTAACTTGGCATGGTATCCATAATGCTTCTCAATAATATTGAAAAAAAAACGGCGATTAGTCTTGATGTTGACATATATAAGAATGATTTGAAGCATGAGAGTATTTATATTCTCTTGAAGAAATACGTAGATCTTTAGAAAGTAGAAAGTTTGATCTTGATTTTGATTTAACGTTAGAAAATGAAGAAATACTTCTAACATTATCCAGAGAAGAAACAATAGATTATTCATAAAATTAATAAAAATCTTGATCTTTTGAAGGCCTAGTAATAATATCTTGAGGATTTAAATATTTTGGGTTTGTCTTGTAGGTTTTATATGTATATAAAAAATCAGGCATATGTTAACACAATTATTTGATGGGATTGATGTTCTTCATGACTACTAAAGTGAAAAAAAAACATGCGTAGGTCACGCTACTGCTACATTGATATTGCTGGGGCTCCATCTGTTGATATACTAACAACCCTTCTTATTGAATTTTTTTTCAAAGTTTATCAAAGAAGTCTTAAGAGGTTGTAGTCCCTTGCATTGGAACCAGAGAACAAAACTCTTCAGTAATATTGAATTTAGTGTCAATACCACGTATAGATATAGCGAGTTGTGCCGTGTCGCTAATGTCACAACTTTCATCAAGTGCCAAAGAACAGTACTCAAATTTAGCAATGCGTTGACGAAGCGTTGTTGCTGTTGTATACCTGTGATCGAACATGCCTTTCAGTTCCCTGAGCGAGCCAGCCAGAATGTGCAATTGGCCCTGGTTTCATAGCCAAATCAGCTGATACCTCACATGAAGCAACTGCCTCAGCTTGTTTCTAAGGCTAAATAACTTGCCTCAGTTGTCGATTCAACAGCAGTTAAATCAACCAAATTTTCAAGTGCGATTGTTTCGAAGTTTGTAACCGGCTGTAAGTACACAAGCAAAGATAAATTTTATTGAACTTTATCATACAGTATTAAAAATTTACTTCCAATTTTGTGTAATCCAACGATTGGCAATTCTTTCCCTTTAAAATAACTAAATGTGATTCATTTGTGAGTGAAATTCTTATCGATATTTTTTATGGTAATAAAATCATTATTTCTACCGTCGCATGAAAATGCTATTAAATTAGAGGAATCATTTCGCTTGTGCTGAGTTTAACCACATTTTCCAAAATGCCAAAATTGTCCTGAGCATCCTTTACGCTGAGACTTTCATCATTGCAATTGGCAGAACGCCACTCTATCAGAAATTCTAAATCTGTCGCTTTCCTCTCCCACTTTTTTAAAGAAAATTTCTTGTTCGTAAGATAGTGTACGCCCAATTAAAATAACGAGTCAATATCTTGTCCTATTATAACTGCAGTTTTTTCAGACTTTGATTCTTCAATTGGAGTTTGAACAATTAGAACATCCGCATCATCTGTGGCTTGTTTAGTAGTAATATTTGCAACTTGTAATTTTTCAATTAACATATTAATGAGCCTATCATTGTTATTTCGATTTGATAAGAATTTTTCTTGAGTAACTATTCTTTCATCGAAATAGACTTCATACGTTTTTGAAAGTGCAGCAGTTCTTCTCTGCTGCTTCATAGCTTTTGCAACTATTTAGTTATTCTAGAAGGTTAATTAATTCCAAATGCCATAAATTACATTTAACTGATTTTAAATATTCATTAAACCACACTCCATAAATTGCGTAAGATATAATAGTATTTTATTAGGTTTTAACCAATATTTATAATTCAAAATTCCCATCACTCAAATACAAATCAACAATGCAGACAAATATACCATTTCCAATGTGGTAATCTGAATGTAAATTATATAAATCAACTACTATATCGCTATAATGATAAGTACATCAAGGTATTTTTCCTTCCAATTATACTTTCGTATTTTTTTTCTCTACTATTATATTAAATATATGCATATCGTCGCACAAGATTTTTGACTATACAATTCTGCACACTTAGTAATTTGTTAAATTCCTATTTTTATATTATGTATATGATAAAAACGAAAATAAATGTAATGTTCAAATATTAGGTTTGTGTTTTAATCTTCGTATGCTTTTTATGTCGTTGCTTGTATTATGTGAACTCTAATCGATTTTTTTTCATAATTTTTGGAAAAATGAACGTCTTCTACGTGGGCGTGCTCCACTTTTATTTTAAATTAGCTGACCCGGCGAAATTTGTTCTGCATTAATGGCAATAAATAAGCAGTTTTTTTAATTGGAAAAAAATTAAAATAAAATACCAATATTAATCATCCATAACAATTTCTGTATTTTAGTACATAGGTTGCTCTTCATTTAAGTATCTTGTGATACACGACATTTTTTGTTTTATTATCAGTCGCAAAAACAAACAACGCAGATGGTCTTCCGACCCGTAAACATGCCACGTATAATTGACCGTGGAAAAAACATGAATGTTCTAGATTTAAACCACAATCTTTTAAGAGTTAGTTTTGTGATTTGTTGATGGTCATGGCAAAGACAAGACGCATCTGAAATTGAAGTCTTTTAAATTCAAACGGGATATCGGTTGGGATCATCGGTATCCTCGGAATGAGAACTTCTTACCTTTGAATTTTTCTATCATTATCGTAACGTAAATTACATTGATAATCAATTTTCTAACCACTAAACGCGTACCGTTGCACAATTTTGGTTGGTTTATGTTTCGAAGCATGATTACTATTGAGCCAACCTTTAGGCGTAAATTGTGCGGTGTTAAGCCAGGCACGTCCAAAGAGTTTAAAAATTCAATTGGATAGCTGGTGGCTTTAACTTCATTTGTGACGCAGTAGATTTGAATGTATGCATTGTTCCAATGATCTGATTTTGAATTATGTAGTTTAGGGGTTATCTACATTTTTATTCTTAGCTGCTAAAATTGCTCGCTCACTCAACCATACATTATTTTTGTAGTTAGAAATAATTTCTGGAAATACATTGTTGATAAGTTCGACTTTTGATGAGACAAAGTTACAGAAATTGTTTGGAAATGATATTAATACGCTCGATTCATTGACAGGTACTTGACCATTGCCGATAGTCAGCAATTGATCCGAAAAATCTACAGCAGATGTATTATTAAGATATGTAACTTTCATGTTTGTTGTCAGCTGCAATTTCTTCACATAGCGCCATAGATTTGACGATTTGAGGCAAGCGTTTATTTCGTCGGTAGCTGTAGATCTTGGGATTACTGGCAGTATTTGGCGGAAATCGCCAGGCAGTAAAATCATTGCTTCTCCAAAAGATCGCGAGTCACTGCGTAAATCTTTTAATGTTCGGTTAAGTGCTTCTAATGCACGTTTATGCGCCATTATGCATTCGTCCCAAATGATGATTTTAGATACCGATAAAACTTTGGCCAATGCTGAGTGCATTGCAATATTACACGTGGTTTCTCCAATAGTTTGAATATTTAACGGTAAAATAAATTCTGAATGAACCGTACGGCATCCTTCTAACAATGTGGCTGCTATTCCAGAAGAAGCAACTACAATGTTGTGCCAGTTCCGCCAGGCGCATCTAGGACATATAAACCACAACTTTCATTATCGATTGCCTTTATTAAGTATCACAAACTTCCTTTTGTTGGCAATTCAACAGGGGTACATTCGTTTGAACTACTAAATCTAAATCCTGGTGATCATATTCACGTTTCTGTTCCAATTCTTGATTAAATGCGTCATTCATTTCACGATATGGTGCTGGCGTTTCTAACCTGATAAATAAATCACCGCACATGAAGTAACACATATCTTCGATCAAGATTAAAGCATGATTATGTACCTCTTTTCATTTATCTTAATATCGTAATTTCTGAAACTGAGCCGAATTTTTGATGTAAAATATTTTCTGACATATTATTCTTGTATTTGTGCCATAGGTTCCATGGATTTGATGGAAAACATGTCGAAATTAGGACAGCGAATATTGTGCGTATCTGACTTGGAGATGCAGAGATAATGGCTTCAGCGATTGTCGTATCTCTATGACTATCGTTTTCTAATAATTTCAATTATTAATATGCAGCACGATATGTTGGGAATATTACGCCATTAACAGTTCGTAGTGACTCAAATGATGTTGGCCCACGCACATTTATCAGGAACAACCGCAAATAGAAACATTCATTATTTTTTGAATGAACTGTATACATTCGACCAAGAGCTTCAGTAGAACGCACATCTGGATACCCAGGAACCGCATCGCCTTTTTTCCGTCTTTGAAAATTCTTCGATGAAGCATTCCAAATATAATAACGTAGCATCTCCAAGTAAAGCAAAGTTTGTGCAAATTGATCGCTTTGGCAGATTGCAAAAAAACTGGTCAATGTAGTTGCTGTGTTATCTTTGTGCTCTTTTTCACAAGTTTACAAACAAATTACATTAAAAAGCGACAGGGATTCAATGGAAAGCTTTTTTACATTTTTTTGGCATTTTTTATGTACGAGATGTCTCCTTTCTTAACATTGTTTGAAAAATAATCTGACGATGGATAAGTGATACTATATATTTATATTCAAAAGAAAAACGCATTTAGTCCTTGCTGGCAATTTGAATTAAAAAATTTGCTAAAGTTTGTTTCTGCTTTTTTCATGTTTTAGTTTACACGTTTTCATTTTGAAGGTTATAAAATCTTTTAAATAATGCTAGTGAATAAAATGTTGCCTGAATTTCCGCTGACGCTAAAACCTAGTTGCCGAAGGTGAAAGTGGAGATTTGTGAGAAAGAGAGTGAACGCATATTTGAGTTCCTCGGCCATAGACACACATTTAGTTTCGACGCATATATGCGTTTCCTGGCCATAATTACTGTCTGCGCCAAACGCATATATGAGCTCTTTGGCCAGTTTGATGATTTGCGCACGACGCATATATGCGGCACTCGTTCCCAAAGGGTTAATAGTATTAATGCATTTTATAACTTCATGTTCATACCTCATTTCAGAACAGGCGGTATATATTTAGATACTAATTGTTTCTTGTGAATTACACGATGGACCATAACCATTTCAGGATTCACATGTTTCATCAACTTTAAGCAGTCATTTTTCTTACCCATTATATAAAAGGTATCATCTGCCGCACAAAATATTATATTTTCATTGATATATTATTCAACTCTAAGTAGTATAGTTTGGTATTTAGTGGTGCCTTCTAATATTTTACAGATCAACATTTATGCAGAAAAATGTCGTGAGATGGCAATCTTGTTTTTTTGTCAAATTGTTCCTTTAAAGTTTTACAGTAACTCAAATCTGAATTTACATGATTTTGATGTTTCACCTTCAAATTTCATTGATTCGTTGCTCAAGGACTGCTGATATAAAAGACAAAAGAGTATCTGCTCATTGTGAACAGCGGATATGTAGCCAGATTTTAAGTTTTTATCAAAATTTTGGCGAATTTTTTTTTTCGCTTGTTCCGCTCATTTTATTATGGGCTAAAAATAATAAGTTAGAAATATGTATTAAAATTATTTAAATTAGAAGAAAATTTTCACTTGACAAAATGGTCTATACATTTAAATGCTTCAAGTAATACAAATATAAATTAAATGGTTTACTTACAAATTTAATATAAATTCACTATATTCTAGACCTCATCTACTGTTTTTAACTTAATTTATATAAACCAAAATAGATGGCTTTACTGTGCTCAATGTGAACTTACGAATCCTTCGTTCAAAATGAAGAAATAGACTCTCTTATCTCTATAATGCAATTTATCCAGTTGATTTGAAACGTTTGGCAGTAAAGTCAAATAAAATTATATTTAAATATTTTTTTTATACAACCTAATAAGTTTTTCTTATTAAAAGAAAATGAAATTTTCAAACTGCCCTTTGGTGCGGCCTGTGTCCCACGTTGGTAATCACTGTAGTACATCACGTTTCAATGCAGAAAACACTAAAATAGCATAAAACACATCTTTTCTAAATTTACCTCTCGTTGTCGGTACCAACCTCTTTCAGAATGGCGCTGTATAGTTTTATTATTGTTATCCATTGCTTTTTTATTGTATCTTGTCATTTGAATTGGCTTGTTTTCCTCTAAGACATTGTTTATCACTTTTACACTAGTAAATAATATTATGAAGATTAGACTGGCGCTGTTTGGTTTTACTATTTTTATTCATTGCATTTTTATTGTATCTTGTCATCTGAATTGGCTTATTTTCCCGTAACACATTATTTATTACTTTTACACCAATTTTTAGTAAAGAACATTATGCGAGATTAGACTGGCGCTGTAAAGTTTTATTATTCTTATCCATTGCATTTTTATTGTATTTTGTCATCTGAATTGGCTTATTTTCCCGTAAGATTGTGGTAAAATAAAAATGCTTCCTTTTAAATTTACTAAGTTATAACACTAAATTTTATAATTTATTAAATTCTCACTTTTGCACCAGTTATGCAATAAAGAAAACCGCTATAAGTTATAAAACATGTATTATCTCTATATTTTTGGATTTGCACAGACACTAACAAAAGTCACTTATTACACTAATTAGACAATAAAACGCAACTCCCTATCTTGTTACGAAGAACAACTCGTACGGTTGATTAAGTTATCTAAAACTGCTTAGCAGGACTAAGTTATTTTATTATTTAATCTACCGGTAACGTTCAAATCCAATATCAGGAATGCCGGCGAACCCAGGTCAAAATTCCTGTATTTGGTCAGCGAACGCTGTTCGGAGCCCTGCCTAGACTTTACAATTTTTTCAGTAATAGTTTTCACGTTTAGTTCGAATTTCAGAGGTGCCGGCGAACCCAGGTCAAAATCTCTGTATTTCACTACTAAACGGAAAGCTAACTACTTTAATATTAATTATTTCTACATTTAATTTAGTGTCAGAAATGCCGGCGAACCAGGTCAATTTCTGTATCTTTTAATTAAATGCGTTACAAATGAAGAACTAAAACTGACAGCCTTTTAACAGGAATGCTGTGCCTTAAATGTCCACCCTGATTTTCGGTGGGGGATTCAATCGAATTTGTTCGTCACAACATTTCTGTTACTTTTCTCTTTCCCCGTAGGCAAAAATTATTCTTTAGCCTCTAGGATTCCTACAACTCGGCTATGCGCTAGAGACTCGAGCGTGTTTGTGTTTAATTTCTGCCAACAGATACACTCAGTGCTGCAAGCCTCAGCATAGCTTGAATACATTTGTTAACAAAACTAATCATATAATATTAGTTAAATAATATGCACGCTACATCCTCCCCCTCTGGATCGTTTAAGTGCCAGCTAACGGTCCAGAATCAACAGCGTGCATCTCCTGCATGCTAGTGTTTCCTTAGACGATCTCTACGCCATAGCGGATTGACTGGTAGTCGGCTAGCATATTCCACGGGCCGCTAGTCCTCTTTCTCCCCCTGGAGTGAGGCTCCCCCAAGAGCATAAGAGCTTGCGTCGGACCGCAGCTTGTGTGCCAAAGTTTCATCAGCTTGTCTATGCCTGTCTTCAGCTCCTCCTTTTCGCCTTGGAGTCATCCTATACAGTGGTAACGCAATGGGCGTGTCCTCCGTCACAGTCATGCGATGCGGTACGTACGCACAAGCCGTTTAATTTTCGGCGAAGAGGTCATCGAACTTGTCAAGCAGTTGATTACAGGCACCCCGTTATGTTTCGGTCAGCGCGGTCGCTTTGTCCTCTCGCAAATCTATAGTCATGTCGATCGCTGCTTGGTGAGCATACATGGAGTATTCCAATTCATAATTTAACGGCAGAGAATCTCTAAACAGCTCTTCTATAAACGTCGGATCATATTTATTCCGATCGTCTATTTCTTCCGGCGTTGGTTTGTCCGAGACCATATTCATTTGTGCGGTTACCTGGTCTTCCTTTAATAACTTAAAACTTCTGCTCATATCATTATTGAAATACCATTGACCGTTTGCCATATCATGTATTATTCCAGCCTTCGTAAGAAAATCGACCCCCAGCAGCATGCGACTGTTTTTTGCGTTTGGTAATATTACGAACTCTACCGGAACGGCGCGACCTTCCACACGTACAATCGTGCATGTCATTAACACTTGTTCGCGTTTTGCAACGCCGTCTGCAAGCGTTACCTGCATAATTACAGGTTCGAAGTGATGGCCTGTCTCCTTCAAAACCGCGTACAGGCTCGCGCCTGCCAAACTTCTGCGTGCTCCGGTATCTATATGTCCTGCTCAAGTGGATCCCTGTATAGTCATTCGGATTACGGGCCGTGTACGGATACCTGCGCTAGGTAATTCTATGTCCGCATGACGATGCATCCACAAAATGTCGGTTTCATTGCTTTCCGGTCGTTTTCTTTTGT